GCTCTCAGTGTCACAAGGAGACAAGATTGATTAGTTAATACCGCCAGTCACACTGTAATGTTTTGTTCCCATGTAATATCTTCAGCTGTATCAAGCCATTTATATAATTATAAGAATCAGTTTCTTAGCTGTATTGCATTAAGTTCGTATATAATAGTTCATTTCGTAGCTTATTACCTTTATTCATTCCCTATAGTTGCAGTTAGTATTAGATTATTATATCTGGGTGTATGAATCCGAAATTTTGTGTCACTAGTGTTTGCATAATGTAACTACAACATAGAACGAAATACTTGTAACTTAATCTTGTTCCATGATTTGTAATGCTTAAATATTCGCATTGATTTCATATTTACCATTCATATGATTATATGATTTTCATGTGTACCTGCATCTGCTTCCTACCCTTATTATATTTGTAGGCTCAGGATATACTGTAACTGAAAAATACCTAAAATATGTATTGATTAAGCAGAGCTATGTAATGTGTTGCGAACTGCCAAACCTCTTGGTAATTTAGCATCTGCAACATTTTTTTTGCGTATACATTATGCATATATATAATATAGTTATATAACCGCTGATATGTGTTACAGCTCTGTACACGTTGTATGAGACAATGTATAGTGCGTTCATGTAAGCAACTTTCGATCACTCAAGAGAAGCCGACGTGAGCATTTTTCATTTAGTTTCAACAGCAGCATTCCCATCATGCATTTTTCCTTTGGGTTCCAACCCTTTTTTGAGTATTTCTCAATTTACATAGTCAGGTCGTCTTGGAAGACATGACAGTAAGCTCTAGTTTATTTTAATTCCATCGACGGGATCCAGCAGGCTGATGAGCACCTAGCTAACACAGAGAACCAGTAGTTCCACCGATGGCGAAAAGTAAAAGTTTTACAGTGGGTTCAGAGGATTTCATCACGGTAATTTTGAGCCATCAGACTACCTTTTGTAAAGTCGTGCAGAACATTGCAAAGCTCGAAGAAAATCCAGTTCACGTCATTCCACTGCCAATGCTGTTCAATGATAGTGCTAAGTTTATTCCATGTTTCTTTTACTTTAAAGATAATCACACTCTCTTGACCGTTATCTTGATTCACACCGTAACAGTATGTTTAGGCCAAACAACTTCTTTTCAGTGCTCATTCTGATACTCCAGTTGTGCTTCACAGGTTTAAATGCTTCAAGGAAAAAATTCATCATACATTAAGTCCTTTCATATGTAATCTTCGTCATACAGTAGTCTCGGATATTGATCTGCTGTTTTTTTTTCAACTATTGCTTGTAGAGTTGAAGCGGTGTCTCATTGATTGCATTTGTCCCCCAGCCGCCGAGCGGTAAATTCACTGAACACTGGCAGTTCGGTCCGAGGTTCGAATCCCACAAACGGTTTGGCTGCATGGGTTTTTTCGTGGTTCTCCCCATGTGTAACGTGTATACGAGCCGGTTTCCCTTAGAAAATCCTCTATGAAGCATCCCTCCCCTTAGGCAGATGGCTCTCGTGTGCTTTGTCGTAATTAAATAAACCCAACTTAACAACTTTGAGATAATATAGCTATGGTCTTACTATCTGAGGGCGCGTTAATCCGTGAACGACCGGGAACAGGTCTTCAGACAACTGACCCATTCGTTGACAATGTTTACAATAAGAGATATTGCAGAATTATCAACACCGAAAACTAAGCGCGTTTTTAACAGAGAAGCATAATAAGGGCATCTTTAAAAAAGAAGCTGGCAGACGACACGTTAGCGTTGTCAATAACCAGGTTATCTAGTTGTTGTCTTTAAGCTAGAGTGGAACTTACCTAATTAAAAATAACACGAATCGTCTTCCAAAATTTTTTTATGAGCATGTAAACTCATCCAGTGAAAGTTTTCAGAAAGTTATCTACATTTTTACATTACAAAGCCGAATCTTGCGTCAATCAATAAGGTTGTCCTAATTATTCACATCACGGGATATTTTCATTTTCTGCTGTACAGTCATAGTGAATTTCACTGAATGAAATTGAAGCACACGATTTTCAAGTTCAGTTCATTTTGTTGTGTGGAAATTTTTAAATATTTAAATTTTTAAAATTTAAAAATATTTACGTTGTGTGTAATGTAGAAACGCAGGAGGATCGTATTTCGGAAAATTTGCATTATTGGTCACTTTAACCACATTTCAGTTTTAATACAGTCCCATTAATTGCCGTGCTGTGTGTATGAGAAGAAAAATATGAGCATAAGTGACTGTAAGATCGATGTATGGTGCATAAAATGATTCCAATGAGAACTCAAACAGGGGGAATAAAAAATAATAAATAAATAAATAAATAAAAAATATAACTTGAAATTGAAAATTGACTACTTATTTTTAATTTTATAGGAACAGGTATAGTATTGTTACGTGCATATGTGTTCATGATGGATTGAATGCACGCAGATCCGATGACAGCTTGATAAAATTTATTTTCCCAAAGTAACATTTTACAGTTCTGAAACTTTCTCCAAAAGTACTTATACAGCTCTTCTCAGTAGATTAGAGCGCAGTCAATAGTTACCGCTTCAAATTACTAATAAAGTTAAACACAATGCAATGCAAAGCGTATCCAATAAACAAAGCTCGCACGGAGACCTCTCAGTAATCCAAAGTTAGCTCTGAACTAAAAAGTGAGCTCTCTCCAGTCTTGTCTTGGTGGCCCGAGGGAACACGATATATTTCCAGTACCTTCCATTTTCCCAAATTACTGGAAGGCATATACGGTTAAAATTACATATAAGAACCGGATACGGCTACAGTTACGTCTAGGGACCAATTACAGTTATGCAGGGATCGGACCAAAATGTCTTAATTGTTTAATTTCACTAAAATCTGCATATATTCAAAGTTCGTAGCAGTATTGTTAATATTTATTACATGCTTACAAATCATGCTTTTTGTTTTTACCGGCCGTTACAGGTTGATATTGAGTTTTCCAGATTTTTACGGCTTTGCCTGTATACAATTTTAAAATTTTTTCTGCGTAGATTGCTTTCAGGCGTTTAGTAAATTCAGGTTCACTGTTTATTCTGAGTTTATCGACTGGGCACATTTATAAAGCATTCAGGTGAAATTCTTGTTACAAAATGCTCAATCACCATTTAATTTTTTTTTCTGTAGTTTGTCGGAAGTATAGGAATATCGTGTGTTATTAATAAAATTTAATATAATTTTAATAATTTTTTTGGAGGAGTATGCATATCAGATGCACTTTTTAAATTATATTACTGACACGCTATCATTGACTGACGTTAAGTAGAGGTCCCAGCTCTTGCATTATGCCCAAAATTCTTTTTCAACCAGCTCCCATAGATAAAATCTCTCCGTGCGTCTCCTTCGCCTTTTTTATCTTGAGAAGACATTATGAAAAAGATAAAAAAAATAAATAAGGAATTCTGTAATGTTTTCGAAGTAAATGACGCAGAAAGGCCGAACTGGTTTGGTTTTGGATGCGGTGCAACTGCAGAAAGAGAAGCTCTCTTGGATTTGTGATCAAAAAATCCGGAAGACGAAGATTATTTTTATGGTTTGGTCTTAGGAAGAGGGAATCTACTGGGGATCATTGGCGTCTAGGGAAATTTCGGAGAAATGCGGATGTCCCGGAATGAGGCATTCCGGGCCCTTTTTCTACCCGAAATACTCTACGAAAATTGGTATGGGGTAGGTGATGAGACCCCGGAAAGTTCTTTTTCCTCTTTCGTTGCACTATCCTACTTCCTTTAAGAGCGAAGACGCTGCGAGAATGGTAGATTTCAAATGTGTTACGCATATTTGTAGTGGCGTTCTGAATAATTTTAATAATCCTCTTATAATGAAAAAGTGCAAACAACATTTTTATTTGATTGAAGCATTTAAAATATCGCTTCGGAATCGAATAGTTTATAACGCTTATCGGAAGTGTCTGCGATTGCTCATCGTCGAGTGCATTAAGGTTTAACGAAAAAGAACGAAATCTATAAGCGAAGCAAAATAACTTAGCTAGAGGAACTAGAGGACATAAGTTTTCAAAATAGAATTTCAGAATAGTCTATGAAAGTTTTGAAGTTAAGTTTAGGTAAGTTAATAGTTCTTTAAAGAATGTTTTTTTTTCTTTAGTACATAATTGGTGCAGGATTTTTCATATTTGAATAAACCTAACGTTCATATTTGAATTTTGTAACGTTCATATTTGAATACCTTTCATATTTGAATAAACCTAACTCTATAGGGCATGTACTAATTAATGATTTATTAATGGATATATAGAGATGATATAGGAAAATTAGGCTATTAATGCATTGCTTCCGTTCGTGTAAAATACTGAAATAAATATCAGCTGCATACTGGTGGCAAGGTGTTAACAGCAAAATAGAAAGCTGTGGTGAAAATTCCTTTCATATTCATTAAAATTTTACTTACCTTAATATGAAAATAGTGTAACATGGTTAATGACCTGTTTTGTACCTAATAGGCTATTAAAGAAAATTATATAAATTAATCATTATGCATTTTATGAAATTTCTAATTTCTTTGCATAAATTTTTACATTTAAATTTGTATTCATATTCTGATATTGAAGTAGAAATAATAAATCGTTATGTATTGTATTAAATTATTTAATGCAAAAATAATTAAGTAATTAAAGAATAGATATCAAAATGAGTTTATTAGCGAATAATGCTTAAAAATAAATGCGTTCAAATGGAGTCGAACGCAAAATTTTCCGTATGATGAATCCTTATTATTGTACAGCAAATCTAAAATTAAAATTTTTTTATATTGTTAACTAAATACAAGGTATCAAATCATTTTGTTAATAACTTGATCCTGTTATATAAACTAATTTCAAGTTGAAAATGTTTTTGAGCTACCGTAACGCGATCGAGGAAAGAGAAATTGTTTATGTGTTGATGTCAAAGAAATTTAGAAATATGTTTATTAAATGAAATATTCCATAAAATTTCTTCCTTTGATTATTCTATAAAATCCTCAGAAAAGAAGGCTCTTGAGAATAGAACGTTGAAGATGGTTTAAGGAACACTGGTTGTTTCATCTTCAGGTCAGTACTTGGCTATGAATTACTAACTGCATAGGCGTTTTCATACTTTGTAAATGTATAACTTAAACATCATTAACACATTTTTGTCATAATTAAATAGCAAACCAGCCAAACAACCTAAAGATAACAAGGAGTCCGAGAGAATGAAGTTTTCTCTTTTGTGTACATATCATTTATAATTGTAATTTTCTTATTAAATAATTACTTTATTAAAATGCATGAGAGTTCATTAAATACATTTTCTGCATTTAGATTTGTACCATGTCAAGACTTAATGTAAAAGAGGCTGGTTCCCGAGCTTCCTGGTATCTGTCATCTTGGAAAAGTGGCTTTGGCATTGACAAGCTTAGAGACAATGACTTACACACCTATTGGCAATCGGATGGGATTTTACCTCACACAATTAATATTCAGTTCCATAAAAAGACTATTATCACAGAATTATGCATGTACGTTGACTACAAACTAGACGAAAGCTACACGCCAAGCAAAATTTCCATCAGGTCTGGTAGCCATGCTTATGCCTCAAGAGAAATTACCGTTTTCGAACTTGATGAACCGCATGGTTGGGTGAATATTTCTCTTGAGAATAACGGTCAACCAGTAAAGGCACATTTTATACAAATTGCAATCTTGTCAAATCATTCGGGGGGACGTGATTGTCGTGTAAGGCAAGTGCGTTTAGTTTCTCCTCTGGAAAGTGGCTGTTCTGCCATTTTTCACGTTCCACCATTTTCGACAACTGAATGTATGTCATACAGCTCCGTCCGATAACAGCTTTTTCTATAAAAATGTTTTAACAGAACTAGATCAATTCATCAACTGAACTAAGATGCGGGATGATAAATGGCGATGATTGCTTATGAATTAATATATTTAATAGGAAGATAAGCCATCATAGTAAACATACATTCAGTCTTTCTCTAGTGGAAATATGGCTTCATTAGAATTATAAGTAAATTAGATAGGAAAAGTTAGACGTGACAGCAGTTCTGGTTTTGTGAAAACTATTCTTCTTGGAGCGTATATTGTTAGCAGACTGTGTTTGCATTTTTGAAGAGTGGCCAGAATTAAAGATCTGCATCAATTTTTTTCTTTGTTTAATTGCTTTGTTTTCTAGTTCTGATGTGTTATTTTTTTATGGTTTTTAGTACTTTTATTTATGTTATTTCGCCATATTCTGGTCTGTAACATAACGACGGAATTAAATAATTATAATACGCTGGAAAGTTCTGGTATCATATGTCTAACAGTGTTAAGACGCAGAAGCATTTCTGAGCTGGACTTTAAATGTATAATGAATGTGTTACAAAAATTCATGTTGAAATAGCTTAATGACATTGCAATGTATTTGTGTAACTTAATAAAATATAATAAAAATATTATTAATAAAGTTATTCTTGAAGAATATGAATATTCTTCTTTCTCTTTATTTCCCCCCTCTGCCTTTATTTTCTCAAATGATTCAACAGACTTTTAACTTTTGTGGAGCATTTTCTAAAGCTTAGTATTGTTTATCAGTGGTATATGATAAATGCGACCTTTCGTTGTAATTTATCAGGCTCTTATCTGGGATTTCTTCTGAAATTTATTCTATTTTAGTTGCTGTTAAATAATGTTTTCTAATTATTCGTTAACAACTTATATTCAAGCCTCTATGTGCCTGTATAACAATAAAATTTAATTTTTTATTTATTTAAGTTTTTAAAATTTTTCGGTGCAATATTGCAACCTTTTTTGTTTATGAATAATGAAACATTGGTTAATATAAAATTACGGTACTTACGCATTTTCCCGTCGACCGTGAAAGTTGGCGAAGATCCCCTCCATAACTGCGCCAACCATTCCGGCGGACGTTTGAATGAACAGATCGCTCTGTTTTTAGTTATATTATTTAACTAGATAATCAACATATACAAATAACAAAAATGGTATTAAAAATTAAATGTGAGCTTAAGTTTTGAGATTATCTGGCAAAATAATTCACTAGAACCAGCAGTAATCATTCCAGCGGTCAAAAATCTCCAATGGAGTTTAAGATAGCAAGAAAGGCTGAGCCCACATAAATTCACTTGGATACTAATCTACGTTTTGTTGCGAGCTTCCACAGACTTTTATTGCAGCATTTTCACAAACTCCATAGTCTATCCATGTTATGAGTTGCTACACTAGAAATAACTTATCCCGTAACTTCGGAAATACTCCAGTGCATGCTGTTCTGTAGAAGGCAAGTCCAAAATCATACCGCGACCATAAATTGCACGAAGCAAACAGAGAAATAGCAATAAACTCATATCTTTCTTTGCAAAAAACAAAGCTGGCATATGGGCGATTAATCAACTTTACTTAAACTATGGAGGTAGGGGGACCACCTTTTATCTGTGCATGAAACTAAAGCGAAGATCTTATCAATATATTACGAATTCACGCATATCCATTATTGGCACTAAATTGCACAATTTGGCGACATTGTAGAAAGCAGTCGATGAAAGTACGTAAACACCGAAATAATTATTTATATTCTTAGAGGCCCATATGCATGGCAAATTATCGTGCATAGTTTTAGAAATACGTTCGAATGTAGATTTATTCGCCATGTACTTCTTCATGTTCTGTTGAGTTTATTTCTCGCATCGTAAATAATAATATTTATATTATACTATGCTAGTTTAATTAGTTTTTCATATTTATTCTTGACTTCATAAATTTGTAGTATATTTTAGGGGAGATATTATTTTTTTAAAGATTTCATAAAGGTTGTTTTAAACTACGCCATAGCCTTTTCTGTTCCCATACTTTGCATAGTGATGCTGTAAAGCTTTAAATATAGCTTTGTAAGGAATTTTCTCCTTTCTTATGGTATGCCTTCGTAGCGTTAGTAGAAAGCGCATCTGGCTAACAGTCATGAGTTCCGAGGTTCGAATCCCAGCGATAGCATTTTTTGATCTTTCATGTTTCGTTCTTTAAAATAAACCTAAGAAGTAAATCCTCGATTCTTTAACGAATCAAATAAGCGAACTGGTGAAACTCGCTGCGGTATGAATTATATAGGAATGAGAGTAGGAGAATCAAGAAGCAGAGAATAAATCCAATTTTAAAGTTGGATGCACATTTTGAGACTTGGCGATATGATTGAATGAATTTAAATAAGTAATATTAAATAAAAATTATACGAATGTGAATCAATTATTTTGTTGTTTTATTTTTCAATATATCTCAAACATTGCGCAACAATGAGCAGAAAATTTAACGAAATAACACATGAAACTAATCAAAAGCTTCACTTTAGACAATGTTTAAGATAAAAGCATTGTTGAACATTGAACAGATGATTGCACAGCGTCCACATCACACACATTTTTTTTCCTCTGTTCGCTTTTTCTAATATTGGATACGTAATTTTCTCAACCATTTGATTCATGGGTTTTCTTGCTGCATATGCATTTATACGCAACACTTTAGATTATTAAAATTCACCTCGGCTATGACAATAATACAGACGCTCTAGAAACTTGGATATATCGAGACGCAGAATTTGTATATCGCTTTATACGTTCTTACTAATATGTTTAGTTAAATTAAATCGTTAACCGTTAATTAAAATTGGAGCAAAATCTTACCTCATTAGAGACTGATTGTCTAAAAACTGTAGTAAGTTTCCTGCAGTTTTTTTTTTTTGAAAGAATTATTAAAAGAATGTGTATTTAAAATATTTTAGAAAATAATATTCTTTACTTGAACATAAAGCAGAGATAAGATGCTGTAAAATCCTATTAAATTTCAAAATCCAGAAAAACTAATTAGAGAATTGAAGTACCATTTTTCTCCTTCCCTGTTTTATTCTTGGGGAACTGCCTTCTTTGCGAATTCTCGTAGCGGATTGAGTTTGTCTAATTTCACATCCAGCTTTTAATTAAGGGGATTTGAAGTGACGCAGTTAAGGCACAGTTGGATTTCCGTTCCGTTTCCATGGTCTGACACTTTTCCTGGATTTGTTCTTTCGTTTTCTTTCTTGTTTTTTTGAGCGAAAAGTAACTAAAATCGCTGTTCTTTAATTTTGCTTGGGGTTCAATTAGTGCAAAGATTTCGTCCGTAAACCTTCGTCCTATGTTAGCGACGTTTTCTTCTCGCCGCCTTCCGTTCATTTTCGACGTCCTTGAAAGAGACATGGAGTTAATGATACCTTAGATATGCTGGAATCCGAGGAAACACGGGATTTAAAAAGTAATAATACCATATCAAACGGGCGAATCAAAACATATATTTAGCTTTCTGTTATTGATGTTTGTCGTTTTATAATAGTGAAATAATTCAAATCAGCTTAAAATTTTAAAATTTAAATTCAAAATTTTAGCACACATCTCGATGAAAACGTGTCTTGGTATTATTTGCTTTTATTTCGCGGATTTCATATCTTGCAGCAATATAGAAAGTACTAATGTATAATGGAAATAATTTTCGCAAGCCACATACGCAAGCGCTGCATTGAACTAAATGCATTAAATAATCCTTTATTTATTAAATAAGTGCTGAAGTATCCATTTATTAATTTAATGTGAAATAATAAGAATCCCACCCACCATTTGGTTTTTCCATTTAGAATTTCATTTAAAATTTCAGATTTAAGGTTCTATATCTTTAATTCTGGTGGGTAGCGAATTCTTAAATTAATAGGCTTATAAACTGCTTAATTTAGAAATATTTTAGGTGAACAAAAATTTTACAAAAATCCGAATTCGAGCAAAATGTTTTGAGTTCTTTTCAGCTGTGTAAACCATATTGCAATCAAGGCAATGATTTCAGATATGTGTATCCTGCTTTTTCTGTATGTCAACATGTGGGGGGGGGTTAGTTGCCTCCCCACGTGTTGTGCTTCATATTGTTGGCACAAAAAATGTGTATTTATTTTTAATTTCTGTTTAATAAAAAAGGTTATTAAAACCTTTTCATGGCTTGTAGTTACCTTAGATATAGAGATAATTCGCTTCACATTTGATGGAGGTTAACAGTTCCAGATCGAGTAAAGCCTCATCAATGTTTATGGATTAATAAAATAAAATTAATTCATTAATTCAGAATCTTTTGCTGGAAGAAAATCAAGACTTATCAAAAACTGTGTGTTGGTTTTGGCTAAGTAGCTGTAGTCCGAAGTATATCCGATATCCGTATCGATTTACTTTTCTGCCGAAGCATATTTTTGTTATGTTAAAATAATAATTGCTTCGAAAGTGAATGTTAGAAATCCTGAAAAAAAATGAAGTGGTATATTGAAACCTTCATTGATTAGCCGTTAAGTAGGGGCTATATTACATCTACGATATTTAGTCATTTTCTAAATACATGTCATTTTTTAGTCTGCTCTGTTTTATGGTAGTTGTTTCTTTTTCCTGCTGCTCTGTGCTCGTAAATATTGCATCTGTATGAAATATAAATGAGAGCAAAAACGGCTGGCCAGTCTGAAAGTTTAGCAATTACCTTATTTTCTACAGCATAATATATAACGTTTATTATCGCAAACCATTTAACATACCATTAAAAGAATAATATATTACCCTTTCTGGTATGTACAAGATACATAACCTGTTAATGGTTGAAAGAAAAACATGCTTACTCGAGCCTCGAAGTCAGGCGCTATTTGTTTATATGGGAAAAGCTCAGGGCAAATAACTAGATGGAGAATTTGCAAATTGAGTAAATATAGAAAACAATTTTGATGCCGCTGCTCCTCAAAATAATAAAATTGTTGAAATGGAGAAGAACGAATATGATATTTTTGTTGAAGAATGATTAATATTTCTTAATTTCTTCCTGAACAACAAGTGCAGTTGAGTTCTGATTAATTGCACGCCGTCCAAAAAATGTTGTATGATTTTCTTTTACTGAGGAACTACGTCTTACTTTGACAGTTTACTATCTCAAATTTTCAAAAGAAAACAAGTAGTCAGCGATTTAGCTAGAACTTTTACCGCCCTTCTTAATATACAAACTAATGATTAACAGAATGTCAAAATGACACGTGGAGAGAAACATTTAAACATTATGCTTTTTTTTTTTTGAAAAAAAAAATTATTCCCCACATTTTAAAATTATATTATTTTGCTTGATTTTTTTCGTTCTCAAAACCATCGACGACATCGTAGAGGTTTACTTGATTAGTGTAATGCTCAGAAAGGTTTTTCCAATGCAGAAAGAAATATTTCTAGTTCTGAAATGCTTTATAAATTATTTTTATTTAGAAAATTCTTTTCACAATCAGCAGCTCTTAAAGCATTTGTGAGGAAAGTTTGCAATGTTTGGGACTTTGTTCTGGAGATTTTATTTTAAAATAAACTGGAAAAGCTCCAAAGAGCTGCCTTTCCACGTTCCTGTTTCGTTTTCTGTAGGAATAA